AACACGGTAATGTAGGCTTGAGTTCATTATCTGATGCATGCAGGTACACACCAGGAACCTGGAAACTTACTGAATTACAAAAAAACTTTAAAAAAAACAAACATGTTTCATTGATATATATACGAAAAATGAATATTAGGAACTATATTTATCAAACATTATACTGGGCAAGTAAAAATTGTTTCTGGCCTGAAGGGCAAGTGACTTTTTCACATTTGCTAAAACTCCTTAACGTCAACCCCTGAAAATATATTAATATATTTTTATGGCTACATAATATCTATTTGATTGAATATTTATTAATAATGCATCAGAATTTTTATCCATTTAATGAAATTTAAATCAAACAGCTTTCCATAGATTAAACATTTGTAACTTTTCTTAGAATAACTGCTAGTCGTCATTTAACATATTTTTCAGTGCAACACATTGGAGCCTTACAACAAATAATTTCCTCATCTTGAACAGTTATCTGTAAATCTGCTGAAAATGTGGCCCTGCAGAGGAAAGTGAGGGGAGACAATAAGGCATCAATGTTGTCCCTCTGCAGGGACATCAGCAGAGACTCCGCCCACCAGTCTGCTGCCATCAGCCCAGTGGTTACCCACCCTGGTCCTCAGGGACCCCTGCCCTGCATGTTTTAGACAGGTATCTGTTCCAGCACACCTGATTCAAACTAGGGCTCCTCTACATTCAAGTCCTGCAAAAGGACTTGTCATGTTAAACTAATTGTAAGTTGTTTTCTTGTGTGATGCAACAAAGAAACACCTAAAACATGCAGGACTGGGATCCCTGTGGACCAGGGTTGGGACCTTTGATTAGAAAACACTTTCATTCACTTTCAACAGGTCTCTGTTTTACATCCATGAGAAACTCCTTTTCTTCTAACAAAAATCAGATTTTTTTTTGTACTACCTTAACTCCATGTTCGGTGTAGAAGTCGGCAGTTCCCAGACTGGCGTACAGGTCGTACCCCAGAGACTCCAGAGCCTTCACGGTGGGCAGCAGCTCGCTCTTGTTCTAAGGTCAGAGTTCAAAGATCAGTCAAAGGAGAACAAAAGTCTCAGTTTGAACTCCTAACAAAGAGCTTTGGATATTTTTCTTATTGTTCACAAATTAAAACAGTTTTTTTCCTACTTGAAGTCAACTGTTAAAAAATCTAGACTAGATAAACTATGCAAGTTAAAAAAAAAACAAAAAACATACACATTGTGATGCAAATATTAAATAATATTAAATGTTTGAAGAATGTTTTAAGAATAATAACTGTAGGCTTATAAATTCTGTTATAAATCTGTTTCTTGAATGCTAATGTGATGTTTAGTCCTTCAGTCTGACAGCAGCAGATANGCTCGCTCTTGTTCTAAGGTCAGAGTTCAAAGATCAGTCAAAGGAGAACAAAAGTCTCAGTTTGAAATCCTAACAAAGAGCTTTGGATATTTTTCCTATAGTTCCCAAATTAAAACCTTAGTTTTTATTCACACTTGAACTGAACTGTAACAAAATCTAGAATAGATACACTATGCAAGTTACCCAAAAACAAAAAAAAAAAAACACATACACATTGTGATGCTAATATTAAATAACATTAAATGTTTAAAGAATGTTTTCAGAATACCGTATTTTCACGACTATAAGGCGCATATAAACGTCTTTTTTTTCCCTCAAAATGTGCGGCGCGCCCTATAGTGCGGTGCGCCCTATGTGTGTTGTTACTGCGGACGTTTGAGACCACCGTGAGAACGTTTAAGGGGGAAGCGTGGGCGTGGATTGTGTATAAAAGAACAGGTATGTGCTTTATGCAGAACTCATCATCTCCTCATTGAGGAGATGATGAGTTCTGACAAAGGAACTTCAACCGCTCGACATCGGTGTAAGCCGGCCGTTCAAAGTAATGCTGCTTTCACAGCGGACGCAGCAGCTAGTTTACATGCAAAGTCAATGGTTGACGCGCGTCAAGGCGCAGCAAAAGGTCCCGCAGCGCGTTTTGAGCAGCAGGCGCCACGCGTCGGGAGCATTTAAGCATCTGACGCGCGTGATGCGCCGCAAACGCGTTGCTGCTCGAGATGGAAAAATTTAAGTTTTGCTGCTCGACGCGCCGCATCAACCAATCAGAGACACTGATCTGGGAGCTGGCAGAGAGACAGACACATCGCTGATGATACAGAGCGCTGTGATCACTCCTCTGAAACAGTTTATTAACCCCTAATTTAACTTATTAATTTAACTGCTTTTATTATCCTGGTGCCTGCAGTTTAGATTATTTAGATGAAAAACACCTACCAGCCGCCGCGGTGAACCGCCAGGAGGCGACCCGGCCAGAGGCTGCTGTTGAATTAGGTTTTCAGAACTAACTGGTATAATCTTTATAATAAATACATGAATAAAGCACAAACATACTCAGTTTTGCTCCTGCTCTATTTTTAAATACGCAGTAGAGGTATTTAAACGTAGTAGAGGACATGTACCTGTATATAAATCCCACGCCCTATAATC